AAAGTAAAAGCCAGATTAAAAGATTAAACATTAAAAGTTTTTAATTTCCTTTTAAAGATACAGAGAAAGCAGTGGAGGAACTTTAAACTCAACTCTAACAGATACAGGCAGCCGGTGTCTTCAGCAGAGGAGTCATCCATTTTCCTGGTTCTAGTTTAGACTTGAGTCGCAGGGTTCTGAACTAGCTGTAGCTTTCTGATGGACTGTTTAGGGAATTAATCTACACGACTGGTAATAAAAGCGTCAGTGAGTATTTCAGCATCTTTCAGACTTAAAAAGATCTGACTTTTTCAATATTTCTAAAATGAAACAAGGCTGTTTTATTTACCGTTTGAAAATTAGAATTAAATTTTAAATCAGAATCTAAAATCACAACCAAATGAATTATGTTAGTTTTAATCTGTTCGGTAAGGTCACTGAGCATTGAGTGTAGTTTTTCTCTCCCTGCTTTAATTTTATTTTAATTAATTTATATATTTTTTTATTTATTTCATATTTGAACACCAAAAATCTAATTCAGTTTTAAACTTGTCGTATTTGAGTGGATGCAGAATTCTGATATCACAATACTAAAAAAAGATCTACTTTCATGTTTCATATCATTAGAGGTAATTTTTGTGAACAGACTCTTAAACTACAAACCTAAAGAGACAGGAAAAATAATCCTATAAAACAGAAATTCCAGGCGCCTGGTTAGCTCAGTGGGTGGAGCTGGCGAACCATGTACCGAGGCTGAGTCCTTGCTGCAGCGGCCCAGGGTTTGAATCCGACCTGCGGCCCTTTGCTACGTGTCATCCCCTCTCTCTGCCCCCCTTTCCTGTCTATCTTAAGCTGTCTCTATCATAAAGGCAATAAAAAGCCCCAAAAAATCAAATACTTTAAAACAGAAAAAGAGGTTTTACAATGAACGGCAAAACAATATTAAACTGCTTTAACTGGAGGTGTTAGCTTCTCTGTTTTGTTGTCCTACATGACGTCACTGTGTGCAGGGTGGTGTGTTTGCTCGTGATTCAGTTTCTCAGAGAGCTCAGAGCTGTTTTCAGGAGCTGCAAGGTCAGAAACACACTGTTAGTCCTCTTCTCCTGCACTGAACTACCTCAGCTCACAATGTAAAGAACGTGTCAGAGACAATAGAATAAAAACAAGTTCTACTTACGACGTGGAGGGCGATTGGCTGAAATAAGAAGAAAAGATCATTTAATTTGTCACAAATGCCAGAAGATCTTTTGTTTTGCCCTCTGAATCTCATTCTCTCTCATATTAACTGAGAAAAAAATCCCCTTTTCCTCTCTTATTCTATGAAATGTTACTTACATTTTTCAGTCTGCAGAGCGTCAACTCAGTTCAATCAAGTAACTCACCTTTCTTCTTTTTGTAAATGATAAATCCAATAGCACCAATGAGGACAACAACAAGAACAACCACTGTAGCAGTAATCTGGATGGTGATACTGGGCTCCTCTGCTCAGCAAAAAACAACACAAATAAACAAAAATCACAATGTGTGGAGAGGAATCAGGTTAGAAAAGATCCATCCATCTGTTAATCAAGGTTACGGTCTGTGTAAATATTGCGTTTTATTTTTCATTCAAGAGGCTGTGTTTACATCTTTTCAATGAAAGAAATCACCAAAACGTGTTATTTGTCAAAGGATGGCAAAACTGTTCACATAATGAATACAGTGTAATACAGTAGTCACTGGTGTGTGTGAGCAGAAATGGAGTGGAGTCTTAGACCAAGAATACAGAGCTCAAATGGAGCTTTAAATCTGTGTTTCTCACCTTTGTCAAATCTGATCTCAGGTTTGCCCGAGTTGGTCCTGATCTCTACTTTGTCCAGTTTGATGACGATGTCGTTCTTCACACCAGATAGCTGAAACACACAGTCGTACCTCCTCCAGTCTTCAGGTGTGACTGATGAAAGGTTCAGGTCAACACTCATCTGGAAGGATCCTTCGTGGTTGAGGAGGATCTCTCCGTGGTCCACGTCCTCATGAAGCTCCACTCCATCTTTCCTCCAGATGAGTGTGGCACTGTCAGGGTAGAAACCTGTAGCGTGGCAGCTGACTGGAGAGGAGGGAGTCTTCTGGAGTAGAGACACTGAGGGAAGCTCTGGAGGAGAGAGAGAGAGAGAGAGAGAGAGAGAGAGAGAGAGAGAGAGAGAGAGAGAGAGAGACAGAGAGAGAGAGTTGACAACAATGAAAAAGGGAGAACAGGGAAGGAAATAAAACAAGGGAATAGACAGATGAAGAAATTCAAGAGGGATGAATCAAGATGAGGGAAAGAGAAAATGGGACAGAGATAAGCAATGAAAGACACACTGTATCTGTCTGTATTATGAGTAACTTTAAATTATAAAAAGTAAACTGCTTCAGGTCAAATTTACAGAAAAAGACTGTACATGACCATCTCTTTCCCTGAGAACATACTAATGGTAAATGGACCTGTTCTTGTATAGCGCCTTTCTAGTCTTCCAACCACTCAAAGTGCTTTTACACTATATGCCACATTCACCCTTTCACACACATTCACTCAGTGATGGCAAAGCCCACCAAACGTAAACTAACCCATACATACACATTCACACAGTGATACACGGCATTGGGAGCAATTCAGGGTTCAGTATCTTGCTCAAGGACACGTTGACATGTGGAGGGAGGAGCCAGGGATTGAACCAACAACCTTCCGATTAGTGGACGACCCAGTCTTCTTCTGAGCCACAGCCGCACAACCAGAAAAATGTTACCCTGATGGTGGTAGAAGGTAAGCAGTAATCCACCTCAGGTATGTTAAGCAGCCTATGCTAGCAGCTTAGAGCACACACAGAGTTAACTAAACCAATGATGAAATGTGATGACATGTTTAAAAATAAGTTTTACCCTTAGTTAGAACTCCTTTACCAGATATGATCAAAGGTCTTAAGGACATAAAAACCTGGATGACCTGAAATTGTCTGATGTTAAATTTGGACAAAAGCAAAATTATATCTATCTATTTATATATATAATGAAAAATAAAATAACTAATCAGGCAGTTCAGTCTGAGCAGATTATAGGAAAATCTACCTTTTCTCTGCAGAGAGCTGTTGCCATAGTCCACATACTTCTTCAGGAACTCAGGATAAACCTCAGTGACTAACTTTTCATTGTAATTTAATCTAGCTTTCTCATTATCCCACATCTGTTTGATGGGTACAGCCTGAGGTTTCAGAGCGATCCATGTCAATGTCTTCAGGTCAAGAGAAAGGAAGTCTTCTCCATTATAACCAAACTGCATAAAACCATTAACCTCTCCAGTCACATCATCCCACTCACATCCAAAAAGTCCCTGTAAAATGACACCTGAGAGAGAGACAGAGACAGAAACAGAGACAGTAATTAACAATGTACAGAATACAGATGAAATCTCCAGTGGAAAGATGATCTTATAAATATTGTGCATTGTGTGACACTTGTGTCTTGTGGTGTGCTCATGATTCAAGAGCAGATAATCAGTGCACTTTATCTGAGTGATGAAACCCAATTTATTTTCCACAGCTAAAAGTTACAATAGTAGCTACTGTTGTATGAATTGACAGATGACTGTCAGTGGCAGTATACAAAGTGGGTATGTTGAATTATATGCACATTAAACTCTTATTAAAACAAAGTCACACCTGTGTGACACCTGCAGTCTCAGATGCAGTCCAAGCTCAAATTCATTAATATGCACATGTTAGCTATCCTATATCTGTGTGTCAAACAACAAACCAGGCTGCAAATCATTTTAGTAGTAAAAGTAAAATATAATATACATAAATACTTTACCTTCACTTTGGTTGAGGCGCTGCTTAAAATTATGAATTGCCACTTTGAATATGTTTGGCTCACTCTCAAAACACTGCTGAGTGTACCACTCAAAGTGCTGAGGATCATCTTCAAATATTTTTTCATCCCTGCTGATGAAACGTGACAGAAGAGAAGCAACAAAAATAACGTTTTCATCTTGATTTGATAAAGTCGGGTGGGTAAAGGACCGAGCAGCGAGGAGGTGAGAGAGAGATGTGTAGACAGAAGGACTGCCTCCTTCTTCCACAGCGTCAGTATGTGACCTCAGGTACACAGGAAGTACTGCACAGCTGTAACACCTGTCAAACAGGTACCAATGTGTCTGTCAGTGTGTCTGTACCCATTATGTTATGTTTAGAGCCCCATACATACACTGCAGAGTAAAAGCTGTGAGAATAAACTGTGTGAATTAAGAATGATCCAATTTTGTTTGTAATATTATCAATTAGTTGTTCTCATGTTTGGTTGTAAATTGTGAAACTGTGAGTGATGAACTGAATAAATGTTCAGTATGTTCACATAAAGGAGCATGAACAACATACAAAAGACGGACTGAATTTTTAATAATTTGTCTTTCATCATCATGCCATTTCTCTAGAAACTGATAAATAGTTTTAGTTTAACATCATTTTGGTCCTATGATTTAAAACATATTGTACTTGGATTGTGTTCACTGAGGTTAAGTTAAAGGCTGTCAGTAGTCTATGTAAGATGAATGCTCTTTTGAAGGTACTGTAATTTCACACACTAATTCTGCTCTACACAGGAGCTCATGGGCCAAATGAAACTGCTGTAACAGAAAGAACTTAAAGGAAAGCTGTAAAATGTTGTCTTACCTGGAGATAAAAAAAATGTCACCAGTTACCTGTTTCACTGTATCTGTTATTACTTGTCTGTACTCGTCTGCCAGGTAAAGTCCAAAACACAGTGTGAGAAACAGAATTTGACACATCAGATATGAAGCAACAGCAGGTATAGGGGGAGGGACAGAAAACTTAAATAATCTGTTTTTGTTCATCATTCTTCATCTTTTTTCTTCCTCTTTAGGAGCAATGCTCTCTTTTAAGAGGAACATCCTGATCACATTACACAGTTACACAATCATACCTGGAAGCTGCTCAGTACAACCACAGTCTGACCACAGTATAGTCTGTATTGACCTTACATTGTTGACACTTCTCTTCAGTCAGGTCTAGTTTTGCTCTCTGTGACATAATTGTTGAGTATTCTACCCTCCTCTCTTTTGTAGTAGTAAACACACACAAAACCTATTTTTCTCTTCTCATTGGAGGTCTGCAGTGGACACATGGAAACCAAACTGAAACTAATTTATTAAAAAAAAAAAAAAAAAAACCTGACTAACTAAATGCTGCTGACCCCAACAAACCCAAACAGAGAGAAAACACCAACAATGGCAGTCGCACAAAGTGCCACCAATTTAGTATTTTCGATTCCAAAACCAAATCTGTAATGAGAATCAGAGTCCACTTAGATCCATTTGTATGGGAGGCCAGAGAGCTGAACAAACTGTAGCTTCAGAAAAAGTCATCACCACTTTGACATCACATCCGAAGAAGGCAGGCTAATTCATCACAGAATTCAACTTAACTGATGGAAAAGCTGGTTTTTCACACACTGTACTGTTGAAAAAAACACCCGTATTAACATATGAGGCCAACAACATATGTAATTATTAGTGCAAATTATTGTGGAGCTCCTCTTTAAGCCAAATGTTTCATTTTCACATGACAGACAGGTGAGATCTCATCTGTGTCCTCTGTGAGTATACAATATGCTGAGCTAATGTTCATGTTACTGCAACTACAGTCACAGATGTGGACAAAAAGAACCAAACTTTTAAACATGAAATTCTGTATTTTATTGTGAATTAAAACAGAAAGCAGAAAAATAAAAAGCATTACATTTGTTTTTAACATTCATTTGCCAGAAGTTAGGGGAATATTCCTATGGAAGGCCAGTATTCATGTTAAATGTTTTCACCTATCATTAGCCCCTGCAGTGGGTATCAAGCTGTGCCGTCATTAATCTACTGACCCCTCTGACCCACATCATTCTCTAACTGACCTAACTTAACTTTAAGCTTTTATATTGTATCTGCTCAGGCTCATTTACATTGGTTGGCCCAAATGACTTGATAAGCAACTTCATGTGAATGTGATGACCCGCTCAGTAATCCAACCACCATCACTGTCTATCTGGTTCCACTAGTCTTACTTTAGTTAGCAATCCCTGTGGTATGAGGAACTTTCTATGAATTATGTCCCTCGAGCCAACCAAAAGAACATGGCTTCAATAATCCATCACAAGAGGTGATTTTGAGTATTGTATTCAGTATGTAGTTATTCTAAAACCCATTGTTCAAGGTGTTTGAAAAACGAATGTCTACCTAATTAAAGGTAGAAAACATCACTGAAATAAAATTTAAATAAACAGTTAATTTGAACATTTACACATCAAGCACATAAATCATAACTACTACTTCACTAACTAACTACTAGGAAGCCATCATTAGTCTCTTTTAGTTCTGTCAAACTATAATGTGAGAAACTCATTGAGTGCATTTGTTATTCAGGTCTCAGGATTCAGTTTCTCAGAGAGCTCAGAGACGCTGTCAGGAGCTGCAAGGTCAGAAACAAACAGTGTGAAACTCATCCAGCATTTTACTTTCATGAACAGTAAACACAGGAAAAAGTTCATGAAAGTTCAACAAAGTTCATCTGCATAATAATGCAGTCTCATCATCGCATTCATCCTTTTCATACTTAGTTTAGAGTCATGTGTTCTGATTGCAGGGATGGAAAATATTCAGGAACTTTATGATGCCATTGTTTATGTGTGTACTAGCCTTTTTGAAAAATACATTAGCGTGGTTTGCATTCTGTGAAAGTGGGTCCCGACATTATGACCATGTGAAAATGTGGCTCCCAAGGTGAGACCAGTTGAGAACCCCTGATGTAGTCTGTACTAATTTGATTGAAAATATGGGAAGTTTGGGAATATGCACCACTAAAGTAATGAAAAGGAAAACTATGCTTCATTACAACTTGTTTTTATTTTTGTGTCTCTAGTCTGGACATCAGTTCATTTGGTAACATGTGTGATGACACTACTCACCAAAAGAGATATCAGAATGTGGCAATAGGTTTAGTTTATTGTTTAGATATAGCTATAAATAGATGATAGGTGATGGGGCAATGATTCAGGTTGTAAAAAAGTTGACAATTTTGCCAGATTAACAATAATATAATTTTCAGTGGAGATGAACCATAAAATAAGTGCATCTGTAATGTTTGTAATTAAAGGCTAGTTAGCATGTTGTCATGCTGACATCATTAATAATTACCTTACCAGATCAAGGCAGCAGAAGTTTTTGGAGCCAGGTACGACAGTTGTTCTCCATCGACTGAAGAACTTTAGTGCATGATGGGAAATGCCTGTCTGATGTTTGACTACAAACATTACGCATTATAAAAACTCTTCATTTGAGTTTGAGTTCCAGATATTCCAGATACAATATTGGAATCTGGCTTAATTATTTGAGCATTATGAAAAGTGGGGATTCTTGAAATAACACCTGTACAGACGTCAGTCCAGTTACCTGACAGATCAATGAAGGAAATTAAGGATGTCTTGTGTTCCAGTTTTTCCTCTCCCTGTGTGTAATTATTCATGGAAGGTTTGAATTTCTTTATCTCAGGATGGGAATGAGTTTATGTTGGATAAGGACAGCAAACGAGTATAACCAATCGGCGCTTTTGGCAAACCCATGTGATAGTGTCTTGATTCTTCTTCTTCTGTTTGTTGCTGTCGTAGTAACCCGCCAGAATGTCATCAACCACTAGAGCTCCTATATACTCTGGGAAGTTTGGGACTCCAGAAGATGCAGTTACAAAAAACTTCATGGAGTGTTTCACTGCAGGACAAACTAAATACATTCAGTATAAATAAAATGATCACACTCATTTTACCTTTAAACTTTAATTAGTAGCCCAAGCCTTTATTTGCTTCAATCACTGAACTTAACCTTCCTATATCTGAAACAGATGGGCAGGCCTTTAATTCCTTTTGCACAAAACTCTTCCTGAGCAAAGACAGTAAATAGTTTATTTAAATCAGACCAGTATTATTGTAGACCTAGAGAATAATACTTCTATTATTACTTGATCACTTTGGTGATGGTTTCAGTAAAATGAACTGAATAATGGAATTGTGGGCAATCTAACTACACACATTAACAAAAGTTTATATTTGTGTAGAAGGGGTTCAGGTTTCATTCATCCAAAGAGTTTCTATAAAATCCAGAACATGCAGCACACTAGGCTATTAAAGGAGACCTGTGTCTAACTGGGTCTTATCAAGTTGAGGTAAAAGTAAAACTAGATTAGTGTCTCCTGGAGCCGAGCAGGAGCAACATGTGACGAGCTTAAGCTCAAACGTCATATATTCCAAATGTGATCTTACCTGCTGATGAAATGTGACACAAGAGAAGCAACAAAAATAACCTTTTCATCTCGTTTCAGTAAAAGACGTGAGGGTAAAGCACCCAGCTGTTTCTGTTCTGGCCAGAGATGGGTGGATGCTTCTGGGGCTGCTTTCCTCACCTGTGAACACCTTTGTTTCAGTGCATTGTGTCGGAGGTGGTGCTCCTTTCACTGATGAACGTACAGAGTTTGAATCAATTTGAAGCTTTGCAGTTAAACCATGTGATTGGCACATTAGTGGAATGAAAAGAGAGGAGAATGATACAGAAATTTGGTGATTTATTCTCAGAAGGTAAAGTAATTAAATCTTCTAATTTCAGAAATTCTCCAATCACACTGTGACTCATATGAAATGTTGCATAAATATTAACACTTAAGTTAAAATACACCAATAGGGTCAATTCATATTTAGTTTCGAGATAACTATTTATTATCTAGGCGTTTTGGACAATGCATTTATAAATTAATTTACTGCAACATATCACACAAACTGCTACATTTAATGCAGCACTTGAACAACAGTATTACAAATGTAATGATAACACACAGGCTTCTTGGACTTTTATCGCACACCTATGAGACTAAAAGCATTAAAATCAGAGAGGTGTTGTGGTGCTTTGGCTCCGGTCGTGGAGGTCTGCTGTTGCCACCAGATGTCACTGTGCACAAACCTAGTGGAGAAATCAGCAAACATATGCCTATAAAGCCATAAGATACGTAACTTGTGCGCAAAAGTTATAAACTTGTGGTAATGAAAAATTAACAAATCAGACAATGCTTTTGAATTGTGCTTCATTTTAGCGTCTTTGAACATAGAGCTGATGTGACTTGCCAAAAAGCTCCAGTTTTGTCTCATCTGTATAAAGGATATTCTCCCAGAAGCTTTGTGGCTTGTCAATATGCATTTTGGCCATTTCCAGTCTCACTTTTTTATGATTTGCTTTCATCAGTGGTGTCCTCCTCGGTCGTCTTCCATTCAGTCCAGTTAACAACTTGTGCCCACAAGATAAGTAACTTACACCCACAAGATAAGTAACTTGTGCCCACAAGATAAAAAAAAGTTTCCTTTTGAGGACTTGTGCTCTCGAGACAAACAAGAATTTAGTTTCACTTTCACCTACACACATGGACACAATTGCTGGTACCGTTCTGTTAAAGAAAGAAAAATCCACAATGGTCACTGAAATAACTTGAAACTGACAAGAGGTAATCATAAATAAAAAATGGACTGAAAAATTTACAAATGAAAATCAGACATTGCTTTTGAATTGTGCTTCATTTTTGTGTCTGTGAACATAGAGCTGATGTGACTTGCCAAAAAGCTCCAGTTTTGTCTCATCTGTATAAAGGATATTCTCAAAGAACCTTTGTGGCTTTCCAGTCTCGCTTTTTTATGATTTGCTTTCATCAGTGGTGTCCTCCTCAGTCGTCTTCCATTCTGTCCAGTTAACAACTTGTGCGCACAAGATAAGTAACTTACGCCCACAAGATAAGTAACTTGTGCCCACACGATAAAAAATATTTCCTTTGCGGGACTTTAGGGGCTCCGCAGTACATTCATATTTGATGTCAGTAAAACTTTTATTTTGCATGATAAATAGTTGTGGAAAAATGGCAAATAAAATACAAATATAATTCTTAATTTTCTCATTATTACACATACACATTTATATGTACAGATATACACATTTGATTTTGACTTTATCTTCATCACACCCAGTATTCATGTGAAATGATGTTTCTACCTATCATCAAGCCCTACAGTGGTAGTAATGTAAGCTGCCTTTAAAATCTTCATTCACTCAAGCAAACAGCAGATACTTTGCTGTGTGACATGGCTTTATATCTACATTGTGTCTGCTCAGGCTAAACTGCAACTTCATGTGAATGCAATGGCCCGCTCAGCAGTCCAACCACCATCACTGTCTATCTATTTACACTAGTCTTGAAATAAACGATTACATTTAACATCTACTTATAAAAGCCATAAACTACTACATCACTTTATGACAGGAAGGCATGCTTTAGTCAGTTTAAATTCTGTAAAGCTAAATAAAGTGACACGTGTTATATGAAGGAACTTCATTGAGTGCGTTTTACATTCAGGTCTCTGGATTCAGTTTCTCAGAGAGCTCCGATCCGTCGTCAGGAGCTGTAAGGTCAGAAACAAACAGCATCAAACAGTGAAAGTCCTCTCATCCTGCACTCAACTTTTATAAACAGTAAATACAGGAAACAGTCTTCAAAAGTTCATCTGCACAATAATGTGAAACCCTGTTTAATCTACAGCATAAAGTGTGAGTCAGATCAGTTGAAAATAAATAAAAGCAGGTTTTACTTACGAGATGGAGGGCATTTGGCTGAAATCAAAACAAAAGACAAATCATTTCTTTACCTTATCCCCAGTAAATATGATCTTCAATGATCTACTCACTAAAACTACTCATCACTTCTCTCCCACATCATCTTGGTAAGGTCAAATTATCATGACTCACAGGCTCTGAGCCTGACACTGCTTACTGTTGGTTGCTTTAAATTCTGTGGTGCAGGGAACTGATGCTTGTTTCTCTTGTGCAACCTGGATAAAAGCATCAACTCAAAGACTAAAATATACTGAACTGAAATCTTTCCATTTTCTCTCTCACCTTTCTTCTTTTTGTAAGCCATGAGTCCAACTGCAGTGATGAGGATGAGTACAAGAACAACTGCTGCAGCAGTGATGGGCACGGTCATGTCACTGGACTTCTCTGTTGAACAAGAAAGCAACAAAATAAAAACAAGACCAGTACAGATAAAGGACAGAAGTACATCCATCCATTCATCAGTTTATTCATACATACGTATGGGTTTGTTCCTGTGGACTACTAGTATAGTATAAGATGCATAGACTAGTGTATTGATATTGTTATTGATCGTCCTGGGTTCGCCTAACTGTATAAACTTAATGAGGAACCAATAAACAATTTCTAATGTTTCTTAAAAAACTGATTTTCTGAAAATTCTGACCTTTTTATCCTTTTCAATAAAGCACATTTTCAGTGCTGTTTGTCAACATTTTCAGTTACTGTATTGTGATAGAACGTTATAATTCCTTATACTGCGATAGAGGATTTTGGCTATATCACTCACCATTATTGTGAGTCACCACAACCACAAGAGGTCCTTGAGCACACAGTCATACATGTGTACAGAAGAAATGAGGCTGAGATCCACTAGAATGTGAGGTTAGCTGTAGATTGATACAAACACAAACAACCGACAGACATGCAGTCCCATTCAGCACACTCTAATGTCAGTCTTACCCCAGTTGGTCCTGATCACTGCTTTGTCCAGTTTGGTGACGATGTTGTTCTTCACACCAGAGAGCTGAAACACACAGTCGTACCTCCTCCAGTCTTCAGGTGTGACTGATGAAAGGTTCAGGTCAACACTCATCTGGAAGGATCCATCGTGGTTGGGGAGGATCTCTCCGTGGTCCACGTCCTCATGAAGCTCCTCTCCATCTTTCCTCCAGATGAGTGTGGCACTGTCAGGGTAGAAACCTGTAGCGTGGCAGCTGACTGGAGAGGAGGAAGTCTTCTGGAGGAGAGACACTGAGGGAAGGTCTGGAGAGAGAGAGAGAGAGAGATGACAGCCCCTCATAACAACCACCACATTGTCTCTATATAGACAAATGAGAGAACCACTGAAGAAACTCACTCCAGTCAGAGAAGAAGGATCTGCCTTTGTGGTTCACAGCAAAGTACTCAAACACAGTGTCAATATTCAGTGGAACTATTTCTATTGTGAAACACTGAAACTCTGTAAACTGATTTAAGTCATACTAAAACACTGACTGTCACAGTATCAGCTTTGATTGAAAGTAACCTCAGAGCACCCAAAAATGTCTCTACTGACTGGTTAGGACTAAATCAAATCTTACTGCACAGGAAACTGTCATAAGGTAATGTCACACTGATTGGAGTAATAATAATAATACAATGGCAGTTCAGTCTGAGCAGATTATAGGAACATTGTTGAGTTCATGAAACTAAATCAGGTCATGTGATTCTACCTTTTCTCTGCAGAGAGTTGTTGCCAAAGACCAAATACTTCTTCAGGAACCCAGGGAAAAGCTCAGTGAGGTAAATCTTATTGTATTTTATTCTAGCTTTGTCAATATCCCATCTCAATTTGGTGGTGACAGCCTGAGGTTTCGGAGCAATCCATGTCAATGTCTTCAGGTCAAAAGATATGAAGTCTTCTCCATCATAACCATACTGGTTAAAACCATTAACCTCTCCAGTCTCATCATCCCACTCACATCCACTCATCCTCTGTAAAACATGGGCACCTGAGAGAGAGACAGAGACAGAGACTGTAATTAACAATGATGTACAGATGAAGATGATCTCACAGATATTGGGCAGTGTGTGTTGCACTTCTATTTTCATCTTCATCTTGTGGTGTGTTCATGATTCAAGAGCAGATAAGTGTACTTTTTCTTTATATGAGTGATGAAACCCAATTTCTGTTACACATTCTTTTCTTTTGTCAACCATGAACTACAACATCCCTGGTCGGGCCAGCTGAAGACTTTTGTTGTGTCTGTCTCCCCCTCATTGTCTTTATTCCCTTAACTGCTGCTTTCTAATAAAGGCATACAATTAAAATAAAAGTGTCACCTGCTAAAACACCTGCAGCATTGGATGCAGTTGAGTGACCACACAAGACTGACCAGGAACTCATTGAAACATAGTTATTGTGTAACTTCTATTACTAACTGGGAAAGGTGGGAAGCTGCCAAACGTCAGGGAGTCTGAAAGCTCTGGGCTTATTGCAACCCTTGTTGTGTCATCTAGTAGTAAAAGACCTTTTAGAGCCATGTATGACGGTTGCTTTCTACTGACTGCAAAACTTTAGTGCTTGATAAGAATCACCTGACTGGCTAATGTTTAACAAACATTATAAAAACTTTGCATTTTCTAATTCAGTGTAAAGATTTAGTTTTTATTATTATTATTTAGATTTTGTGCTATGAAAGTTATATTTTGTGTGTGATGACGACTTTCATTGGTCTAGAGAGGTGGATAAAGTTAGTTCCAAATGTTCCAGATACAATATCAGAATCTTACGTAGTTAGTATGTTATTATTACAACACAAAACTCGAGTGTGAAGGTGTGATTCTTGGACTGAAACCTGTACAGATGGATGTTAAGCCCCTTCAATCAAATTATTTAAAGAAATCAATGAAGAAAATGGAGGCTGTACTTTTCCTGTTTGTTTGTAATTGTGAGGATATTTTGACTATAGATGGATGTTTTGAATTTCTCAGTATGATGAGTAGTTTGTGTTGGACAGAGCAAACAAGTCTAACCAGGACCTGATTTATGGATTACATGCTGACTGGCAGCTAGTGGTTCCAGGTTTTCAAAGCAATGTGATGGCGGTCTATTTACTTTACAACTAAGATGCAGAACAGTTTAACAGTAAACAGTGAAATATAACATAGTGGGCTACATACTGTACCTCCACTTTGGTTGAAGCGCTGCTTTAAATTATCAAGTGTGGTTTTAAAGAAGTGCGGCTCATGATCTGAACACTTTGTAGTGTACCACTGCAAGTGCTGAGGATCATCTTCAAATAATTTTTTCAACCAGTCCTGTTGTGGTTCTGGTCTCTTTTTGTTGCTGTCGCAGTAACCGGCCAGAATCTCATTAACCTCTAGAACAACCACAAACTCTGGGAAGTCTGGGACTCCAGCAGATGCAGTGAAGATAAACTTCAGGGAGTGTTTCACTGCAGGAAAAACAAGGTTTAATACATTTATACACACACACATAATTTAAATATGATGTAGGCTATTCAGTATGATTCACATTCCCAACATATAGTCTTATCAAGTTGAAGTAAAACTGAAACTAAATTCTTGTTTGTCTTTAGCAAAATGCAATAAAAATAAATATGTTAAATGTGATCTTACCTGCTGATGAAACGTGACACAAGAGCAGCAACAAAAAGACGTTTTTCATTGTGTTTTTGGTTAAGACTTGTGGGTAAAGAGCGAGCTGGGTCCGCTGTGGTTTCTACTGTAATGTGAGCCACAGAGTGCTGAACCGTGATAAAGGGAGCTGTTGTCAGAATGTTTATTACGGTAGGCGAGGCCTTAAAGAAACATACACGCGTTTTATATTATGTACAATTTGGACTTATATTACTGTACTGGTTGTTTGTTTGTTTGTTTGTTTGTTTAGATAATTAAGGGCAATTTTTATTTTACTAATCATGAGTTCCTCATATTGGGACCTAAAGTACATCAGTAAAGTACATTCATATTTTATGCCAGTAAACAGTATTACAAATGTAATGATAACACACAGGCTTCTTGGACTTTTATTGCTCACCTATGAGACTAAAAGCATTAAAATCAGAGAGGTGTTGTGGTGCTTTGGCTCCAGTTGTGAAGGGCTGCTGTTGCCACCAGATGTCATTGTGCTGCTGCATTTGAAGCCCCAAAGCTCCAGACGGCTTCATCCACCTCTCACTAGTTCTGACTTCACTAAGAACGAGTGATATGTATTGGAGCAAGAGCATCCATTACTAATGATCTTAAAACAATCTATTTGTGACAAACTGGTGAAAATACAGCCTCTCTTTTTATCACTCTCAAAGACACCACGTCCCTCAACATGCTAGTTTCCCCTTCAACCATCGTCCCCTTCATGCTACTTCCAACAACAATAACAACAACAACAACAACAAAAATCAGTCATAAAGTCATAAAAAAAGTATTAAAATAAAAATGATTATTCATTTGTATGATGAATTGTTGTGGAAGAATTCAACAGTCTCACTGCCTGAGGGAAGAAGCTGCTCTGCAGTCTGGTGGTCCGGCAGCAGAAGCTTCTGTAACTCTTCCCAGATGGCAGCAGGGTGTGTCTGGGGTGGGTGCTGTCTTTTAGTATCCTTTGGGCTCTGTGCAAGCATCTCACCTCAGCAGTATCACTGATGCTGGGCAGCTGAGTACCAATGATCTTCTGGGTGGTTTTAATCACCCGCTGCAGTGTCCAGAGTGCTGAGTTGACCGAGGGAGAATGTGTTGTTGAATGCTGAGCTGAAGTCATCCTACACCACAAACTGTACAGTGATATTACTCTTCTCAGCTGTCAGTCCTATAAACTGGCATCAGGACATGTGTGTGCTCACATCAACCTTGGACTAAAGAAAACTCGCTGTGCATAACTGATCATAAAGTTCCAAGAAAACAGCCACCGTCAACATGTTTCACACTACGTACAAAGTGAATGTCACATATAAATGGAAATAGTCTCAAACACAAGTTTAACATACTTTAAAGGTTTCAACAAAAGCTTTAATTACAGATGATAATATACAAGCAGAATATTTATAATAAGTTTTGATTGTTTTTATATTTGGAAGAAGGAGTTATGAATGAATGGATTATTCTGAGCAAACAGGACTTTGTCTGTTATCACAAATGCAAACACATCTACCTGCATGGTTTGATATCATTAGAGATCATTTTGTGAACCACAAACCTGAAGAGACGGAGAGAATAATCAGATAAAACAGAATTAACTTCATCAGAAATATTTGGAAAGTTCAATTCAACAAAGGTTATAACATTGTATCAGTACCTGAGGATTCTGATTTCAATGAGATCTAAAATATTCACAATCTTACAACATTTTAACAGATGGCTGCTTTTAAAGGATTATTCCTTCAATTTATTTTCTACTGTAAGCATCAATGCCTTATTTAACTTGTTTTTCCTCTTTATAACCTCACTTATCTTTATCTACCGTTGGTCATAGGAAACCAGCTCTTTGTCAGATATTTTCTTTGCAGCTTTAAAGTGATTCAGAGGTTTTACAGTGAACGACAAAACAATATTAAACTGCTTTAACTGGAGGTGTTAGGTTCTCTGTTTTGTTGTCCCACATGACGTCACTGTGTGCAGGGTGGTGTGTTTGCTCGTGATGTTTCTGGATTCAGTTTCTCAGAGAGCTCAGTGCTGTTTTCAGGAGCTGCAAGGTCAGAAACACACTGTTAGTCCTCTTCTCCTGCACTGAACTACCTCAGCTCACAATGTAAAGAACGTGTCAGAGACAATAGAATAAAAACAAGTTCTACTTACGACGTGGAGGGCGATTGGCTGAAATAAGAAGAAAAGATCAGAAGAGTTTAAAATGCCAGAATACCTTTTGTCTCATTTTCCCTTCTGAATGTAATTCTTTCATATAAAGTGAAACTCTTTAGATTCATATGTTATTAAAGGTTTCAACTCGGCTCATTCTAGTCTCTCACCTCTCTTTTTGTAAACGATAAATCCAATCACAGCAATGAGGACGACAGCAAGAACAACCACTGTAGCAGTAATCGGGATGGTGATGTTACTGGGCTCCTCTGCTCGGCAAAAAACAACACAAATAAACAAAAATGATCACAACATGTGAAGATGAAGCAGGTAAGAAAAGATCTATCCATCTCTTCATCACACATTCACATTGTGAATAGAGTATAATACAGTAGTCACTGGTGTGTGTGAGCAGAAATATACAGCATTTAAAGGACACAGCTTACTTCAGTTTAGCAAAGAAGATACAGTATATGTTATTAACTTGACAGCATTTAAGAAACCTGCCACTCTGTGCATTGTATGCAACTTCCCAGGTAACAGTAAAGTGACATTATTGAACATTTACTAACTGGTAAACAAAAGAATCCCCACTGTGCATCAATTTATTTTCACTGTGAATCATAAAAAGGGTCGGTGGGCGACCTGGCACCCTATCACAGGGCAGATATAGTATCACTGTACTAGACAGTAAAGGCACTACTGGGTTATATTATGGGAAATGTAGGATCCAGTGTTCTGGGGACTAAAAGTCAGAATATGTCAGCCACTGGTGCTATGTCTCTTGCAAAACAGCCAGCCTTAAGAAAGTGCAGAACTAAGTTGCTGGAATGTTCCTTAAAGATAAGTTTAAAATTTCTGTGACTTTAATATATAAATGTTATGCATATCATTTTATAGATAAATAAATAAAGATAAATGAGTTGCTGATCTTAGTCTTAAAATAATTATTAAGACTAAGATAAGATCATTCAGTTATAAATAATACTTTTTTTAAAATCTGTGTTTCTCACCTTTGTCAATTCTGATCCCAGGCTTACCCCAGTTGGTTCTGATCTTTGCTTTGTCCAGTTTGGTGACGATGTCGTTCTTCACACCAGAGAGCTGAAACACACAGTCGTACCTCCTCCAGTCTTCAGGTGTGACTGATGAAAGGTTCAGGTCAACACTCATCTGGAAGGATCCATCGTGGTTGTGGAGGATCTCTCCGTGGTCCACGTCCTCATGAATCTCCTCTCCATCTTTCCTCCAGATGAGTGTGGCACTGTCAGGGTAGAAACCTGTAGCGTGGCAGCTGACTGGAGAGGAGGGAGTCTTCTGGAGGAGAGACACTGAGGGAAGGTCTGGAGGGAGAGAGAGAGAGAGAGAGAGAGAGAGAGAGAGAGAGAGAGAGAGAGAGAGAGAGAGAGAGAGAGAAAATGGATAGGGGGTAGAGAAAGACAAATTCAAGAGGGAGGAATCAGGGAAAGAGAAAATGGGACAGATATAAGCAATTAAAGACATGCTGCATCTATCTGCATTATGAGTCACTTTAAATTACAAAAGTCAAAGTCAGTCAGGTCAAAAAGAAAAAAAAAACATGTCAGTACATGACCTCTGATGGTGGTAGAAGATAAGCAGTAATCCACCTCAGGTATGTTAAGCAGCCTATGCTAGCAGCTTAGAGCACACACAGAGTTAACTAAACCAATGATGAACTGTGATGACATGTTCAGCTGCATGTCATCCTTCCACCGATGGCTCAAGGTGGGATCCAGAAATGATGTGGGCTTCATAGACATTCGGCTGACTTTCTGGGGAAAATCTGGTCTGATTAGGAGAGACGGCATCCATCCCACTTTGGACAGAGCAGCTCTCTTATATACAAATCTGACTGTTTATTTCTGAACCTAAAACCTGACAACCCAGAGTTGAGAGCAGGAGGCAGAGCTGCAGTCCTACACGCTTCTCTGCACTTTAGTTAGAGCAGATACCCACCCAGAACCCCACAGAGACTGTGTCCCCTGACCACTTCAATTGTTTAAAGAGGAAGTAAAGGGAAGAAGAGTTAATAACATGAGCCTAATAAGAATTAAAACCAACTCTACAACAGAAGAAAATAAAATAATTAATTGTGGACTCTTAACATCAGATCTGTGTCATCTTAAGCTGTACTAGGTCATAAATTAATATCAGATTATGATACTGATTTATTTAGTCTTACTGAAAAAATAAAAAGGGAAAATTGTTGAGTTCATGAAACTAAATCAGGTCATGTGATTCTACCTTTTCTCTGCAGAGAGCTGTTGCCATAGGACACATACTTCTTCAGGAACTCAGGAGAAAACCTAGTGATGAAATTCTCACTGTCTTTTATTATAGCTTTGTCAGTATCCCATTTCAGTTTGGTGGTGACAGCCTGAGGTTTCAGAGCGATCCATGTTGATGTCTTCAGGTCAAGAGATATGAAGTCTTCTCCATTATAACCAAACTGAATAAAACCATTAACCTCTCCAGTCTCATCATCCCACTCACATCCAAACATCTCCTGTAAAATGTGGATACCTGAGAGAGAGAGACAGAGACAGAAACAGAGACTGTAATTAACAATGTGCAGAATACAGATGAAATCTCCAGTGGAAAGATGATCTTATAAATATTGTGCATTGTGTGACACTTGTGTCTTGTGGTGTGCTCATGATTCAAGAGCAGATAATCAGTGCACTTTATCTGAGTGATGAAACCCAATTTATTTTCCACAGCTAAAAGTTACAATAGTAACTACTGTTGTATGAATTGACAGATGACTGTCAGTGGCAGTATACAAAGTGGGTATGTTGAATTATTACATTAAACTCTTATTAAAACAAAGTCACACCTGTGTGACACCTGCAGTCTCAGATGCAGTCCAAGCTCAAATTCATTAATATGCACATGTTAGCTATCCTATATCTGTGTGTCAAACAACAAACCAGGCTGCAAATCATTTTAGTAGTAAAAGTAAAATATAATATACATAAATACTTTACCTTCCGTTTGGTTGAGGCGCTGCTTCAAATTATTAATCCACACTTTGAATATGTTTGGCCCATTCTCAAAACACTGCTGAGTGTACTGCTCAAAGTGCTGAGGATCATCTTCAAATATTTTTTTCATCCAGTCCTGTTTTGGTTCTAATATCTTTTTGTTGCCGTCGCAGTAAACAACCAGACTTCCATCAACTTCTAGAGCTGCCACAAACTCTGGTATCTTTGGGACTCCACTGGATCCAGTTACAAAAAACTTCAGTGAGTGTTTCACTGCAGGACAAACAAAGTTTATACATTCAGTAAAGACCCATCATGAATCTGATGTATTCAGTCAGCAGCCTATGATTCTATTAAAACATATAAAGTCAGTCTTATGAAGTTTAAGTAATAGTGAAACTAAAGTGCTGTTTTCTGGAGCTACAGGAGCCAAATGCACTCTGCGGCTCACGTTATCGCAGTCAAATGCAGAGCCGAGTGGAAAGTGAAGCAAAGAGCTTAAAGAGTTCAAATGTGATCTTACCTGCTGATGAAACGTGACAGAAGAGAAGCAACAAAAATAACGTTTTCATCTTGATTTGATAAAGTCGGGTGGGTAAAGGACCGAGCTGCGAGGAGGTGAGAGAGAGATGTGTAGACAGGAGGACTGTCTCCTTCTTCCACAGCGTCAGTATGTGACCTCAGGTACTCAGGAAGTACTGCACAGCTGTATCACCTGTCAAACAGGTACCAATGTCTCTGTCAGTGCGTCTGTACCCATTATGTTATGTTTAGAGCCCCATACATACACTGCAGAGTAAAAGCTGTGAGAATAAACTGTGTGAATTAAGAATGATCCAATTTTGTTGTGTGTAGTTCGATGCTCCGAACCACACGATGCCAACAATTTCTTCAGAAACTGACATATAGTTTTATTTTTACATCATTTTATTACTATGATTTAAAACATATTGTACTTGGATTGTGTTCACTGAGGTTAAGTTAAAGGCTGTCAGTAGTCTATGTAAGATGAATGCTCTTTTGAAGGTTCCTATAATTTCACACACTAATTCTGCTCTACACAGGAGCTCATGGGCCAAATGAAACTGCTGTAACAGAAAGAACTTAAAGGAAAGCTGTAAAATGTTGTCTTACCTGGAGATAAAAAAAATGTCACCAGTTACCTGTTGTTGCTGTATCTGTTATTACTTGTCTGCACTCGTCTGCCAGGTAAAGTCCAAAACACAGTGTGAGAAACAGAATTTGACACATCAGATATGAAGCAACAGCAGGTATAGGGGGAGGGACAGAATACTTATCAAATAATCTGTTTTTGTTCCTCATTCTTCATCTTTTTTCTTCCTCTTTAGGAACCATGCTCTCTTTTAAGAGGAACACCCTGATCACATTACACAGTTACACAATCATACCTGGAAGCTGCTCAGTACAACCACAGTCTGACCACAGTATAGTCTGTATTGGCCTTACATTGTTGACACTTCTCTTCAGTCAGGTCTACTTTGCCCAGATGAATCTGAGCTCTTTTACATAATTGTTGAGTATTCTACCCTCCTCTCTTTTGTAGCAGTAAACACACACAAAACCTATTTTTTCTCTTCTCATTGGAGGTCTGCAGTGGACACATGGAAACCAAACTGAAACTGAAAAAAAAAAAAAAAAAACCTGACTAACTAAAATGCTGCTGACCCCAACAAACCCAAACAGAGAGAAAACACCAACAATGGCAGTCGCACAAAGTGCCACCAATTTAGTATTTTCGATTCCAAAACCAAATCTGTAATGAGAATCAGAGTCCACTTAGATCCATTTGTATGGGAGGCCAGAGAGCTGAACATACTGTAGCTTCAGAAAAAGTCATCACCACTTTGACATCACATCCGAAGAAGGCAGGCTAATTCATCACAGAATTCAACTTAACTGATGGAAAAGCTGGTTTTTCACACACTGTACTGTTGAAAAAAACACCCGTATTAACATATGAGGCCAACAACATATGTGATTATTAGTGCAAATTATTGTGGAGCTCCTCTTTAAGCCAAATGTTTCATTTTCACATGACAGACAGGTGAGATCTCATCTGTGTCCTCTGTGAGTATACAATATGCTGAGCTAATGTTCATGTTACTGCAACTACAGTCACAGATGTGGACAAAAAGAACCAAACTTTTAAACATGAAATTCTGTATTTTATTGTGAATTAAAACAGAAAGCAGAAAAATAAAAAGCATTACATTTGTTTTTAACATTCATTTGCCAGAAGTTAGGGGAATATTCCTATGGAAGGCCAGTATTCATGTTAAATGTTTTCACCTATCATTAGCCCCTGCAGTGGGTATCAAGCTGTGCCGTCATTAATCTACTGACCCCTCTGACCCACATCATTCTCTAACTGACCTAACTTAACTTTAAGCTTTTATATTGTATCTGCTCAGGCTCATTTACATTGGTTGGCCCAAATGACTTGATAAGCAACTTCATGTGAATGTAATTGCTCCCTCAGTAATCCAACCACCATCACTGTCTATCTGGTTCCACTAGTCTTACTTTAGTTAGCAATCCCTGTGGTATGAGGAACTTTCTATGAATTATGTCCCTCGAGCCAAACAAAAGAACATGGCTTCAATAATCCATCACAAGAGGTGATTTTGAGTATTGTATTCAGTATGTAGTTATTCTAAAACCCATTGTTCAAGGTGTTTGAAAAACGAATGTCTACCTAATTAAAGGTAGAAAACATCACTGAAATAAAATTTAAATAAACAGTTCATTTTAACATTTACACATCAAGCACATAAATCATAACTACTACTTCACTAACTAACTACTAGGAAGCCATCATTAGTCTCTTTTAGTTCTGTCAAACTATAATGTGAGAAACTCATTGAGTGCATTTGTTATTCAGGTCTCAGGATTCAGTTTCTCAGAGAGCTCAGAGACGCTGTCAGGAGCTGCAAGGTCAGAAACAAACAGTGTGAAACTCATCCTGCATTTAACTTTCATGAACAGTAAACACAGGAAACAGTTCATGAAAGTTCAACAAAGTTCATCTGCATAATAATGCAGTCTCATCATCACATTCATCCTTTTCATACTTAGTTTAGAGTCATGTGTTCTGATTGCAGGGATGGAAAATATTCAGGAACTTTATGATGCCATTGTTTATGTGTGTACTAGCCTTTTTGAAAAATACATTAGCGTGGTTTGCATTTTGTAAAAGTGGGTCCCGACATTATGACCATGTGAAAATGTGGCTCCCAAGGTGAGACCATTTGAGAACCCCTGATGTAGTCTGCACTAATTTGATTGAAAATATGGGAAGTTTGGGAATATGCACCACTAAAGTAATGAAAAGGAAAACTATGCTTCATTACAACTTGTTTTTATTTTTGTGTCTCTAGTCTGGACATCAGTTCATTTGGTAACATGTGTGATGACACTACTCACCAAAAGATATATCAGAATGTGGCAATAGGTTTAGTTTATTGTTTAGATATAGCTATAAATAGATGATAGGTGATGGGGCAATGATTCAGGTTGTAAAAAAGTTGACAATTTTGCCAGATTAACAATAATATAATTTTCAATGGAGATGAACCATAAAATAAGTGCATCTGTAATGTTTGTAATTAAAGGCTAGTTAGCATGTTGTCATGCTGACATCAGCAATGATTTCCTTACCAGATCAAGGCAGCAGAAGTTTTTGGAGCCAGGTACGACAGTTGTTCTCCAACGACTGAAAAACTTTAGTGCATGATGGGAAATGCCTGTCTGATGTTTGACTACAAACATTATGCATTATAAAAGAAATGAAATAACACCTGTACAGACGTCAGTCCAGTTACCTGACAGTTCAATGAAGGAAATTAAGGATGTCTTGTGTTCCAGTTTTTCCTCTCCCTGTGTGTAATTATTCATGGAAGGTTTGAATTTCTTTATCTCAGGATGGGAATGAGTTTATGTTGGATAAGGACAGCAAACGAGTATAACCAGTGGGCGCTTTTGGCAAACCCATGTGATAGTGTCTTGATTATTATTATTATTATTATTATTATTATTATTATTATTATTATTATTAGCCTTTGTAGATAAGAACTAAGATGCAGAACAGTTTAGCAGTAACTATTGAAATATAACATAGAACATACTGTACCTCCACTTTGGTTTAAGCGCTGCTTCAAATAATAAATCGTGGCTTTGAAGTAGTTTGGCTCAATCTCGAAACAGGTTTGAGTGTAGAACTCCAAGTGTTGAGGATCTTTTTCAAATAATCTTTTCATCCATTCTTGTTTTGGTTCTATTATGTTTGTTGCTGTCGTAGTAACCCGCCAGAATGTCATCAACCACTAGAGCTCCCATATACTCTGGGAAGTTTGGGACTCCAGAAGATGCAGTTACAAAAAACTTCATGGAGTGTTTCACTGCAGGACAAACATTCAGTATAAATACAATGATCACACTCATTTAACCTTTAAACTTAAATTAGTAGCCCAAGCCTTTATTTGCTTCAATCACTGAACTTAACCTTCCTATATCTGAAACAGATGGGCAGGCCTTTAATTCCTTTTGCACAAAACTCTTCCTGAGCAAAGACGGTAAATAGTTTATTTAAACCAGACCAGTATTATTGTAGACCTAGAGAATAATACTTCTATTATTACTTGATCACTTTGGTGATGGTTTCAGTAAAATGAACTGAATAATGGAATTGTGGGCAATCTAACTACACACATTAACAAAAGTTTATATTTGTGTAGAAGGGGTTCAGGTTTTATTCATCCAAAGAGTTTCTATAAAATCCAGAACATGCAGCACACTAGGCTATTAAAGGAGACCTGTGTCTAACTGGGTCTTATCAAGTTGAGGTAAAAGTAAAACTAAATTAGTGTCTCCTGGAGCCGAGCAGGAGCAACATGTGACGAGCTTAAGCTCAAACGTCATATATTCCAAATGTGATCTTACCTGCTGATGAAATGTGACACAAGAGAAGCAACAAAAATAACCTTTTCATCTCGTTTCAGTAAAAGACGTGAGGGTAAAGCACCCAGCTGTTTCTGTTCTGGCCAGAGATGGGTGGATGCTTCCGGTGATGCTTTCCTCACCTGTGAACACCTTTGTTTCAGTGCATTGTGTCGGAGGTGGTGCTCCTTTCACTGATGAACGTACAGAGTTTGAATCAGTTTGAAGCTTTGCAGTTAAACCATGTGATTGGCACATTAGTGGAATGAAAAAAGAGGAGCATGATACAGAATGATTTATTCTAGGAAGGTAAAGTAATTAAATCTGCTAATTTCAGAAAATCTCCAATCACACTGTGACTCATATGAAATGTTACATAAATATTAACACTGAAGTTAAAATACACCAATAGGGTCAATTCATATTTAGTTTCAGCATAACTATTTATTATCTAGGCGTTTTGGACAATGCATTTATGAGTTAATTTACTGCAACATATCACACAAACTGCTACATTTAATGCAGCACTTGAACAACAGTATTACAAATGTAATGATAACACACAGGCTTCTTGGACTTTTATCGCACACCTATGAGACTAAAAGCATTAAAATCAGAGAGGTGTTGTGGTGCTTTGGCTCCGGTCGTGAAGGTCTGCTGTTGCCACCAGATGTCACTGTGCACAAACCTAGTGGAGAAATCAGCAAACATATGCCTATAAAGCCATAAGATACGTAACTTGTGCGCAAAAGTTATTAACTTGTGGTAATAATAAATTAATAAATCAGACATTGCTTTTGAATTGTGCTTCATTTTAGCGTCTGTGAACATAGAGCTGATGTCACTTGCCAAAAAGCTCCAGTTTTGTCTCATCTGTATAAAGGATATTCTCCCAGAAGCTTTGTGGCTTGTCAATATGCATTTTGGCAATTTCCAGTCTCACTTTTTTATGATTTGCTTTCATCAGTGGTGTCCTCCTCGGTCGTCTTCCATTCAGTCCAGTTAACAACTTGTGCCCACAAGATAAGTAACTTACACCCACAAGATAAGTAACTTGTGCCCACAAGATAAAAAAAAAGTTTCCTTTTGAGGACTTGTGCTCACGAGACAAACAAGAATTTTGTTTCACTTTCACCTACACACATGGACACAATTGCTGGTACCGTTCTGTTAAAGAAAGAAAAATCCACAATGGTCACTGAAATAACTTGAAACTGACAAGATGTAATCATAAATAAAAAATGGACTGAAAAATTTACAAATGAAAATCAGACATTGCTTTTGAATTGTGCTTCATTTTTGTGTCTGTGAACATAGAGCTGATGTGACTTGCCAAAAAGCTCCAGTTTTGTCTCATCTGTGTAAAGGATATTCTCAAAGAACCTTTGTGGCTTTCCAGTCTCGCTTTTTTATGATTTGCTTTCATCAGTGGTGTCCTACTCAGTCGTCTTCCATTCAGTCCAGTTAACAACTTGTGCCCACAAGATAAGTAACTTACGCCCACAAGATAAGTAACTTACGCCCACAAGATAAGTAACTTGTGCCCACAAGATAAAAAAATATTTCCTTTTGGGGACTTGTGCGCAGGAGACAAACAAGAATTTAGTTTCACTTTCACCTACACACATGGACACAATTGCTGGTACCCTTCTGTTAAAGAAAGAAAAACCCACAATGGTCACTGGAATAACTTGAAACTGACAAGAGGTAATAATAAATAAAACATTTACTGAAAAATTAACAAGTGAAAATCAGACATTGCTTTTGAATTGTGCTTCATTTTAGCATCTGTGAACATAGAGCTGATGTGACTTGCCAAAAAGCTCCAGTTTTGTCTCATCTGTATAAAGGATATTCTCCCAGAAGCTTTGTGGCTTTCCAGTCTCGATTTTTATGATTTGCTTTCATCAGTGGTGTCCTCCTCAGTCGTCTTCCATTCAGTCCGGTTAACAACTTGTGCGCACAAGATAAGTAACTTAGGCCCACAAGATAAGTAACTTGTGCCCACAAGATAAAAAATATTTTTCTTTTGGGGACTTTAGGGGCTCCGCAGTACATTCATATTTGATGTCAGTAAAACTTTTATTTTGCATGATAAATTGTTGTGGAAAAATGGCAAATAAAATGTAAATATAATTCTTAATTTTCTCATTATAACACATACACATTTATGTGTACAGATATACACATTTGATTTTGACTTTCATTTATCTTCATCACACCCAGTATTCATGTGAATGATGTTTCTACCTATCATCAAGCCCTACACTGGTAGTAACGTAAGCTGCCTTTAAATCCTTCATTCACTCAAGCAAACAGCAGATACTTTGCTGTATGACATGGCTTTATATCTACATTGTGTCTGCTCAGGCTAAACTGCAACTTCATGTGAATGCAATGGCCCGCTCAGCAGTCCAACCACCATCACTGTCTATCTATTTACACTAGTCTTGAAATAAACGATTACATTTAACATTTACTTATAAAAGCCATAAACTACTACATCACTTTGTGACAGGAAGGCATGTTTTAGTCAGTCTTAGTTCTGTAAAGCTAAATAAAGTGACACGTGTTATATGAAGGAACTTCACTGAGTGCGTTTCACAATCAGGTCTCTGGATTCAGTTTCTCAGAGAGCTCCGATCCGTCGTCAGGAGCTGTAAGGTCAGAAACAAACAGTGTCAAACAGTGAAAGTCCTCTCATCCTGCACTCAACTTTTATAAACAGTAAATACAGGAAACAGTCTTTAAAAGTTCATCTGCACAATAATGTGAAACCCTGTTTAATCTACAGCATAAAGTGTGTGTCAGATCAGTTGAAAAAAATAAAAGCAGGTTTAACTTACGAGATGGAGGGCATTTGGCTGAAATCAAAACAAAAGACAAATCATTTCTTCACCTTATCCCCAGTGAATATGATCTTCTCTTCTACTCACTAAAACTACTCATCACTTCTCTCCCACATCATCTTGGTAAGGTCAAATTATCATGACTCACAGGCTCTGAGCCTGACACTGCTTACTGTTGGTTGCTTTAAATTCTGTGGTGCAGGGAACTGATGCTTGTTTCTGTTGTGCAACCTGGATAAAAGCATCAACTCAAAGACTAAAAGATACTGAACTGAAATCTTTCCATTTTCTCTCTCACCTTTCTTCTTTTTGTAAGCCATGAGTCCAACTGCAGTGATGAGGATGAGTACAAGACCAACTGCTGCAGCAGTGATGGGCACGGTCATGTCACTGGACTTCTCTGTTGAACAAGAAAGCAACCAAATAAAAACAAGACCAGTACAGATAAAGCAGAACAGAAGTACATCCATCCATTCAACAGTTTATTCATACATACATATGGGTTTGTTCCTGTGGACTACTAGTATAGTATAAGATGCATAGACTAGTGTATTGATATTGTTATTGATCGTCCTCGGTTCACCTAACTGTATAAACTTGATAAGGAACCGATAAACAATTTCTAATGTTTCTTAAAAAACTGATTTTCTGAAAATTCTGACCTTTTTATCCTTTTCAATAAAGCACATTTTCAGTGCTGTTTGTCAACATTTTCAGTTACTGTATTGTGATAGAACGTTATAATTCCTTATACTGCGATAGAGGATTTTGGCTATATCACTCACCATTATTGTGAGTCACCACAACCACAAGAGGTCCTTGAGCACACAGTCATACATGTGTACAGAAGAAATGAGGCTGAGATCCACTAGAATGTGAGGTTAGCTGTAGATTGATACAAACACAAACAACCGACAGACATGCAGTCCCATTCAGCACACTCTAATGTCAGTCTTACCCCAGTTGGTCCTGATCACTGCTTTGTCCAGTTTGGTGACGATGTCGTTCTTCACACCAGAGAGCTGAAACACACAGTCGTACCTCCTCCAGTCTTCAGGTGTGACTGATGAAAGGTTCAGGTCAACACTCATCTGGAAGGATCCATCGTGGTTGAGGAGGATCTCTCCGTGGTCCACGTCCTCATGAATCTCCTCTCCATCTTTCCTCCAGATGAGTGTGGCACTGTCAGGGTAGAAACCTGTAGCGTGGCAGCTGACTGGAGAGGAGGGAGTCTTCTGGAGGAGAGACACTGAGGGAAGCTCTGGAGAGAGAGAGAGAGAGAGAGAGAGAGAGAGAGAGAGAGAGAGAGAGAGATAGAGATTACAGCAACCACCACATTGTCTCTATATAGACAAAGAGAACCACTGAAGAAACTCACTCCAGTCAGAGAAGAAGGATCTGCCTTTGTGGTTCACAGCAAAGTACTCAAACACAGTGTCAATATTCAGTGGAACTATTTCTATTTTGAAACACTGAAACTCTGTAAACTGATTTAAGTCATACTAAAACACTGACTGTCACAGTATCAGCTTTGATTGAAAGTAACCTCAGAGCACCCAAAAATGTCTCTACTGACTGGTTAGGACTAAATCAAATCTTACTGCACAGAAAACTGCCATAAGGTAATGTCACACTGATTGGAGTAATAATAATAATACAATGGCAGTTCAGTCTGAGCAGATTATAGGAACATTGTTGAGTTCATGAAACTAAATCAGGTCATGTGATTCTACCTTTTCTCTGCAGAGAGCTGTTGCCATAGTCCAAATACTTCTTCAGGAACCCAGGGAAAATCTTAGTGAGGTAAATCTCATTGTTTTTTATTCTAGCTTTCTCAGTATCCCATCTCAGTTTGGTGTTGACAGCCTGAGGTTTCGGAGCGATCCATGTCAATGTCTGCAGGTCAAAAGATATGAAGTCTTCTCCATCATAACCATACTGCATAAAACCATTAACCTCTCCAGTCTCATCATCCCACTCACAGCCATACATCCTCTGTAAAACATGGACACCTGAGCGAGAGACAGAGACAGCGACTGTAATTAACAACGATGTACAGATGAAGATGATCTCACAGATATTGGGCAGTGTGTGATGCACTTCTATTTTCATCTTCATCTCGTGGTGTGTTCATGATTCAAGAGCAGATAAGTGTACTTTTTCTTTATATGAGTGATGAAACCCAATTTCTGTTACACATTATTTTCTTTTGTCGACCATGAACTACAACATCCCTGGTCTGGCCAGCTGAAGACTTTTGTTGCGTCTGTCTCCCCCTCATTTTCTTTATTCCCTTAACTACAGGTGGATAAAGTTAGTTCCAAATGTTCCAGATACAATATCAGAATCTTACGTAGTTAGTATGTTATTATGACAACACAAAACTCGAGTGTGAAGGTGTGATTCTTGGACTGAAACCTGTACAGATGGATGTTAAGCCCCTTCAGTCAAATTATTTGAAGAAATCAATGAAGAAAATGGAGGCTGTACTTTTCCTGTGTGTGTTTGTAATTGTGAGGATATTTTGACTATAGATGGATGTTTTGAATTTCTCAGTATGATGAGTAGTTTGTGTTGGACAGAGCAAACAAGTCTAACCAGTTCTGAGTTATGGATTACATGCTGACTGGCAGCTAGTGGTTCCAGGTTTTCAAAGCAATGTGATGGCGGTCTATTTACTTTACAACTAAGATGCAGAACAGTTTAACAGTAAACAGTGAAATATAACATAGTGGGCTACATACTGTACCTCCACTTTGGTTGAAGCGCTGCTTCAAATTATCAATTGTGGCTTTGAAGAAGTTTGGCTGATACTCAGAACATTCTCTAGTGTAAAACTCCAAGTGCTGAGGATCATCTTCAAATATGTTTTTCACCCAGTCCTGTTTTGGTTCTGCTATATTTTTGTTGTTGTCGCAGTAACCGGACAGAATCTCATCAACCACTACAGCAACCACAAACTCTGGGAAGTTTGGGACTCCAGAAGATGCAGTGAAGAAAAACTTCAGGGAGTGTTTCACTGCAGGAAAAACAAGGTTTAATACATTTATACACACACACATAGTTTAAATATGATGTAGACTATTCAGAATGATTCACATCCCCAACATAGTCTTATCAAGTTGAAGTGAAGGTGAAACTAAATTCTTGTTTGTCTTTAGCAAAATGTAATAAAAATAAATATTTTAAATGTGATCTTACCTGCTGGTGAAACGTGACACAAGAGAATCAGCAAAAAGACGTTTTTCATTCTGTTTTTGGTTAAGACTTGTGGGTAAAGAGCGAGCTGGGTCCGCTGTGGTTTCTACTGTAATGTGAGCCACAGAGTGCTGAACCGTTATAAAGGGAGCTGCTGTCAGAGTGTTTATTACGGTAGGCGTGGCCTAAAAGAAACATACACGTGTTTTCTGTCATGTCCCAAACTATATGTACAATTTGGACTTATTTTACTGTTTGTTTGTTTGTTTGTTAAGATAATTAATGGAAAGTTTCATTATACTAATCATGAGTTCCTCATATTGAACCTAAACTAAATCAGTAAAGTACATTCATATTTTATGTCAGTAAACAGTATTTCAAATGTAATGATAACACACAGGCTTCTTGGACTTTTGTTTGCACACCTATGAGACTAAAAGCATTAAAATCAGAGAGGTGTTGTGGTGCTTTGGCTACAGTCGTGAAGGGCTGCTGTTGCCACCAGATGTCACTGTGCTGCTGCATTTGAAGCCCCAAAGCTCCAGACGGCTTCATCCACCTCTCACTAGTTCTGACTTAACTAAGAACGAGTGATATGTATTGGAGCAAGAGCATCCATTACTAATGATCTTAAAACAATCTATTTGTGACAAACTGGTGAAAATACAGCCTCTCTTTTTATCACTCTCAAAGACACCACCTCCCTCAACAAATGCTAGTTTCCCCTTCAACCATTGTCCCCTGTATGCTACTTCCAACAACAACAACAACAACAACAACAACAAAAATCAGTCATAAAGTCATAAAAAAAAGTATTCAAATATAAGCCTCACTGCCTGAGGGAAGAAGCTGCTCTGCAGTCTGGTGGTCCGGCAGCAGAAGCTTCTGTACCTCTTCCCAGATGGCAGCAGGGTGTGTCTGGGGTGGGTGCTGTCTTTTAGTATCCTTTGGACTCTGTGCAGGCAGCTCACCTCAGCAGTATCACTGATGCTGGGCAGCTGAGTACCAATGATCTTCTGGGTGGTTTTAATCACCCGCTGCAGTGTCCAGAGTGCTGAGTTGACCGAGGGAGAATGTGTTGTTAAATGCTGAGCTGGTAATTTGTTACAAATTATAAAAGTAACTAGTTACTTCAGAAAGTAACTATTGCGTTACTTTCAAGTAAATTTTTAAATGCTCAAATGTGGCCCACCTCCACCCCTCTTTAACAGAACTTAAAATACATGTGCATGTTCAATTATTTATAATAAATCTGAATATTATAATGAGATGGACACTTAATACAATACATTATTAACAGAAACAATGTACACAAGTCTAAACTATTTTAATGTTGCTGTGGGACAAAGTGAGTTTATATAGTGGATCGATACAAATAACACAATAGATGTTTTGGAACTTTTGATATTTATTGCCCCTCAACAGGCCACAACTGGGCAAAATTAAATTGTGCTTGTTAAGCACTATACCAAAAATAAACAACAAATATATACACTATTTGTAGTGCAAATAAAACAAAAAACAACTTCTGACAATTGGTAGATATAACAATATGAGGTGCTTTCAATCCAACTGAAAAAGTACAATGTATAGCAAAACTAAGGAATCCAAATATAAACTGGTAATACATAAGAAATAAAAAAATACATCTCCATAAAAATAAATCTCTTTCTCCGGCCATTGACAATCTCACTTCAAGAGGCTGCAGCCAGCCAACAAACAAATCTAAATTAAATGATGCTCTTTAAGCAATGTACCACAAATGTATTCAAACAATATTTCCACTCTTTTTAGTGCAAATGTAATAAGAGGCAACACAACTCGCCATACCTGTCTCTCGTTGACTGACTCGCTTGTGTTGTTCGTTATGTGTCCGACTATGGGTGCTTTCGACTCACCAACTCTACCTCTGATTGGCTGACCATGAAATTTTACTCAACCTCAGCCAATCGTCAGCATTTATGCGCTTGTCTCGTGCACTGCCCACTAACCAAAGAAGAACAGTAAAAAAAGTCTTTGCCTCTCGGCTCAGAGATCTAGTTGGTCTGATGAAAAAACAGCTTCAATTATAGTAACACGCCGCATTTTTTGGCAGTAACGGTAACAGCGTTATTAAGATGGAAAGAGTAATCAATTAGATTACTCGTTACTGAAAAAAAGTAACACCATTATTTATAACGCCGATATTCCCATCACTGCATATAAATGGAAATAGTCTCAAACACAAGGTTTAACATACTTTAAAGATTTCAACAAAAGCTTTAATTACAGATGAAAATAATATACAAGCAGAATATTTATAATAAGTTTTGATTGTTTTTATATTTGGAAGAAGAAGTTATGAATGAATGGATTATTCTGAGCAAACAGGACTTTGTCTGTTATCACAAATGCAAACACATCTACCTGCATGGTTTGATATCATTAGAGGTCATTTTGTGAACCACAAACCTGAAGAGACGGAGAGAATAATCACATAAAACAGAGTTAACTTCATCAGAAATATTTGGAAAGTTCAATTCAACGAAGGTTATAACATTGTATCAGTACCTGAGAATTCTGATTTCAATGAGATCTAAAATATTCACAATCTTATAACATTTTAACAGATGGCTGCTTTTAAAGGATTATTCCTTCACTTTATTTTCTAATGTAAGCATCAATGCCTTATTTAGCTTGTTTGTTCTCTTTATAACCTCACTTATCTTTATCTACACATGACGTCACTGTGTGCAGGGTGGTGTGTTTGCTTGTGATGTTTCTGGATTCAGTTTCTCAGAGAGCTCAGAGCTGTTTTCAGGAGCTGCAAGGTCAGAAACACACTGTTAGTCCTCTTCTCCTGCACTGAACTACCTCAGCTCACAATGTAAAGAACGTGTCAGAGACAATAGAATAAAAACAAGTTCTACTTACGACGTGGAGGGCGATTGGCTGAAATAAGAAGAAAAGATCAGAAGAGTTTAAAATGCCAGAATACATTTTGTCTCATTTTCCCTTCTG